TTCTTTGTCTCTCTTGCTCATGGAGGAACTGAATAAACTTTTTAAAAATAGTATTCATTCATTTTTAAATGACCCTAAAAAGCACTTTGGAAGTTTGGATCATCAGTAGGATTTGTAGGTTTCTCTGAAGAATAATCTGGTGACTAGCTGCCTGTAGTAGTTTTCAATTACTGCTGAAGTAATGATCACAATCTTAGTAGCTTTAAACAACAAGAAATGTTTAGCTCATAGTTTCTATAGGTCAGAAGCCTAGCACATTGTGGTTGAGTCCTCTGCTTAGGCTGAAATCAAGATGTTGGCTGGATTAAGTTCTCATTTGGAGGCTCTGAGGGAAAAAAATATGCCTCCAAGATCATTTTTTTTTTTTGAGAAGTTTTTGCTGTAGGGCATGTGTGCTCCTCAGAAAGACAGAGGGAGACAGAGAGACAGAAAGCAAGAAATCACCCCCTGGGGTGGGGGGATCGGACACCACAATCCCTTCTCCATTCTCCTCTTGGGATCTTGGGCACCCACACACACACACCCGGCATGAGTTTAAGCCACCAGGTCTGGGACTCAAACCATGGTCGACTACATGGGAGTTCAGTGACATAGTCATTACACTAATTGCTAGTCCCCCTCCAAGCTCATTCTTGTTGTTGGTAGAATTCAATTTCTTGTGGTTGTAAGACTCAAGTTCCATTTTCTTGCTGACTGTTAGGTGGGGGCAGGGGGAATCTTCAGTATCCAGAGGATATGGAAATACCTTATCATATCCTTTGCTCCCTCCATTTTCAAGCCAGCAATGACATGTTGAGTTCTTCTCATCCTTTGAATCTATGACTCTCTCTCTCTTACATACCCACATTTAAAGGGCTCATGTGATTAAATGACCAGACTCATCTGGATAATCTCCCCTTATTAAGGTCAACTGATTTGGGACCTTAGTTAAAAATCTGCAGAATCCCTTTGCATCAGTGCCTACATTTGTGTTGTATTGATTAACTGGGAAAAAGTTTATGTATATCAAGACTGGAAATCTTGGGGGCTGATAACAACAGTCGTTCCTTTTTTTGCATACTTTGCCAAGTATGACATGCTTTCACAAACATTATAATCACTGTGTATTTGGACAGTTGTTCATATCACCATACAAACAATGCAAGGAATTACTTAATTTTTTTTAATTCTCCATGCAATTTGATATCATTATACATTTACTCATTCTATATCTTTTAATGAGATTATCATTTTTCCTTGTTTGCATACTAAACATTTATTCTTTTAGGCTCTGCTCAAGTGCCACTTAATACTGTCAATGTTTTTCTAGAGATTCTCTTTATAATACCAGGAATGGCTCCCTTTGCTTAAGGAAGCAAGCTGATATAATTCATCTCTTCATTCTTAGCATGGCTTCTGGAACAAATTAGGTACTCACTGACTGGAGAACTACTGAATAAAAATTGGTCTTAAACATATGGTTTTATTTTACATTAAAAACTGTATCTTGAATGCATATGTACTCATGCAAGGGTTGGTATCAAACACAGGAGAAGTCAAAGGGTTTGTGATTTTTAGGTATATTGGAGAAAAAGTAACAAGAGTTTTGAGACCTGAATCTTTGGCAAATTATTCCCAAAATTTGTTCTTGAAATTGGAATATATTATGTTCTGTATTGTAAAGAAAAAGATTTTTCTGGGGACCAGCAGTTAGCGTAATGGCTATGTCACTGAACTCCCATGTAGTCGACCACAGTTAGAGTCTGGGACCCAGCGGCTTAAACTCACGCCAGGCACGTGTGCGTGCATGCCCAAGATCCTGAGAGGAGAATGGAGGAGAAGGGATTGTGGCGTGGTCATCCCCCTTGGGGGGTGATTTCTCACTTTTTGTCTCTCTGTCTCTCTCTGTCTTTCTGGTGAGCACACACACCCTATAGCAAAAACCTCTCCAAAAAAAAAAAAAAGAAAAAAGAAAAGAAAAAGGTTTTTCTGAACCTTACTTTGTGGGCAAAAGTTCTGCCTAGCCTCCAGTAGCAATCTTTGGGGTTAATAAATTATATTTTTTCCTTTAGTCCAAGAAGTGTTCAATTCTTAAACAACTTCCAATTAGGGTTCATTGGCGTTGACAAACACTGAAAATTATGGGATATTTTTCCTAAATGGAAAAGCAATTTAATTTTATTCTAGGAACATTTAGGGAAAAGACAGAAAAGTACTTTGGAAAAAGATAAAGTTATCTACAACACCCAGAGATAACTATTGTTTTATGTATTTCTTTTCTGTCTTTCATATATGTGTACATGTTATCTACTTATTCATCTGTCATCTGCTATTTATCCAGTTAAAATATTATGGTACTAACATCAGAAGAGAAAGCATAGTAAAGTTATAGGACAATGAGACCGGGAAAATCCCAAAAGAATCAATAGCTCTTCACTGGAAAGTGAGCCAGTCAGTTTAAGAAAAGCAGCTAAAACTTGGAATGGTTTTGTTCATTCACATCATAGGTGAGTACATAGGGCTTATGGTAAGCCTTAAACAGGGTGGAATAGTGTAGCCCCTATGAACTCTAGAAATAGAATTTAAATATAGAGAAAAAAGTCTTTTATATATGTAGATAAAATGACTATATGAGAAAGACGGGGCCTGGTACCAAAGAAAAACTAGTGAAGGAGGAATGAAAATTGAGCAGTATAGAAATACCGGAGGAATTAAACTAAAAAAGAATAATGGAAGTAAACTAGGAAATATTAGTAATCAAGCTGCCATAATTTTTAGCCCCATACAAAAACAACAGAATAGAAAATTTAGTGAAATTAGAATAGCTCTCTGAAAGAAGTTGTCTTCATGTTTTTCTAAAGATTCAGGAAAATATGATTCACTAAAAATGAACAACAGAAAAATATTGAGATCAAATCCCATCTAAAGATACTATATTAAAAAAAAATCAAAGTGAGCCAGCAGGTGATGTAGTGATTAAGGCACTGGGCTCCCACGTGGCCCACTGCGGTTTCAGTCCTGCACCTGGTAGCTTGAAACTCATACAGGGTGTGTGTGTGTGGGGGGGCACACACGTGCACATGCATGCATGTGTGTGTGTGTTCAAAATCCCGAAAGGAGAATGGAGAAGGGATTGCAGCATGTCCATCCCTCCAGGAGGTGATTTCTTGCTTTCTGTCTCTCTGTCCCTCTCTGTCTCTTTGGTGAGTGCACATGTACCATAGCAAAAATAAGCAATACTGGGCAGGACATCGTCTCTGTCAACTACAAAACTGTGCTAGATTGACATGCTCCAAAAACATATTAGTGAGATTAAGTTACAAGTAAAAATAGAGACATTTGAAATATAAGTCATGAAAGAATAGCACAAGTAAGAATGAGAATACTTCAGAAATTAAGTGACAGAGTTCAAGAAATCATTAGAAATAAAAAATTTAAAAATAAAAAAGTATAAATAAAGACTTAACTAGAAATAAGAGAAAAATATATCCAACAGAGAAGAAAAAATGGAAATACTTAAAAATATGAAAGTAAATATATATTTTTAAAAAAGGATTCAAAAGAAAGTTACAAACATGGAAGATAAAGAAGATCCCTTTTGCTTTCTCTCTGGAGGTCACACACTTGGAGGTTGGGGGGTGCAGAGAGGAGAGAAAGAAAGATCTATGAACCAACACCTTTATTGAGTCCAGAGTAATCCAAACAGATCTCCTAGTAGAGTATTAACTAGTGGGTTTAAAGTATGCAGACAGGAGTTCTGGGAGGAACTGTCCAGAGGTAGCTACTATGACATGCCTCACAGTCTATGTGGGGTTGGTGGGTGCAGTCAATGTGTATCTAGCTGTCCCATAGGGAGGTGGTCACCTGGAAGAAGTTGTGTTAGGCTGATATCTGGATCAACCACTTTGAGGAAGTAGGTGGTGATAGAAAATTAAAAACCATATCAAGGAGTGAGATTGCTGGATCATATGGTAGTTTTTTTTTTTTTTAAGAGGTTTTTGCTATACGGCGCGTGCGCTCACTGGAAAGACAGAGACAGAGAGATAGAAAGTGAGAAATCACCCCCCCAAGGGGATGACCACACCACAATCCCTTCTCCTCCATTCTCCTCTCAGGATCTTGGGCACGCATGCACAAGCGCCCAGCGTGAGTTTAAGCCACCAGGTCCAGGACTCAAACCATGGTCAACTACATGGGAGTTCAGTGACATAGCCATTATGCTAACTGCTGGTCCCTCATATGTAGAAAGTTGCAGTCCCAACAATGATCATTAGCTATTTTCTCACATCTCTCCAACATTTGATATTGTCAACATATATTTAAAAATTTTTAACAATGAGAAAGAAAAAAATCTCCATGTTTTATGATACATATGTCTTTGATTACTACTGAAGTTCATTGCTTTTTCACACTGTTTTGCTATCGACATTTTTCTAGTTGCCAATCACCTATTTATCCTTCTTAAAACGTGTTTTATAAGGATGTTTGTTTCTTCTAACTTTTTATTTATTTATTTATTTTGGAGAGGTTTTTGCTGTAGGGTGCATGCGCTCGCCAGACAGACAGAGAGAGACAGAGAGACAAAAAGTGAGAAATCATCCCCCCAGGGGGGATGGCCATGCCACAATCCCTTCTCCTCCATTCTCCACTCAGGATCTTGGGCACACATGCATATGCACCCAGCGTGAGTTTAAGCCACTGGGTCCGGGACTCAAACTGTGGTTGGCTACGTGGGAGTCCAGTGACGTAGCCATTACGCTAACTGCTGGTCCCTCTTCTTACTTTTTTAGTTATTACATATTAAGTATTTATTGTGTATGTTACAATTATTTTCCCAGCATATTACTTCTTTTCAATGTTGCTTAAGGTATTTAAATATTTTTGCTTATGTAGATTTGAAAATTTTGAGTTATTATCAGTACCTTATAGATTGTATGACATGCTTAAAAAGACCTTCTCCATTTTCTAAAGAAATTAAACATAGAATGACCAGATGACTCAGCAATCCCTTTTCTAGGTATATGCCTAAAGAATTTAAATTACCATCTCATAAAGATATCTGTACTCCCATGTTCATTGCAGTTATTCTACATAATGGCAAGTTACGGAAACAACGTAAGTGTTCATCAGTAAACTAATGGGTAAACTTGGGGTATACAAAGGGTATTTTAAAAGTTCAGAGGAAAAAAACTGTTAGAAATTTTTTTAAGGTTTTTGCCATAGGGCACATGCAGAAAAAGAACCCTCAATCTACACTCCATCAGATCACAACAAAACAAGGAAACAAAAGAACAAAACAAAAACCTCCAAGCCTATCTGGCTAAAGAGAACTGAACCAACCAGATAATCTTGAAGCTTTTTATTTATTATTATTTTTTTAGAGAGATTTTTGTTATAAAGTGTATATGCTTAGCAGAGGGACAGAGAGACAGAAAGCAAGAAATCATCCCCCAGGGGGGATGACCATGCCACAATCCCTTCTCCTCCATTCTCCTATTGGGATTTTGGACACACTTGCGTGCACACACACACACACACCCCCACACACACCCACCTAGCGTGAATTTTAAGCCACCAAGTCCGAGACTCAAATCACGGTCAACTAGGTGAGAGTCCAGCGAGGTAACCATTACACCATCTGCTGGTCCTGCTTTTTATTTATTCTGAGATGACAATTCAGCAGTACGTGTAAGACACTGATTTCAAAAATAGAGTAAAATTGACGGAACAGTCCTTCTTCAAGAGACAGCTCCATGGCTCCTGCAATCTAGCCATTTTGGGGGAAATGGAGAAATGAAGAGGTCCCACTGATAATTCGGCCTCCAGCATACAAAACTCGCGTGATTGAACAGAAACTGACCATCCACCAGATGACTAGAAATTTCTGCAGGACCACAAGAAATATGGGAAAGCAGGAAAATACCTCTCCTCCAAGGGGAAAGGATAACTCCTCTTCATCCACACACAGTTCAATGGAAAAATGTCTGATAAAGAATTGAGAACATTCATAATGGCAAAGCTTACAGAGATGGAAGAGAAGAGAGACAAGGAACTGCTGAAGAGGAAGGAGAAAGGAGTTGAAGAGTTCCAGGAGGTGAGGAAATTCACGCAAGATCTAAAAGAGGAATTTTACACTTTACAAAAGAATCAGGTGGAACTGTTAGAGATGAAGGCTATAATACAAGAAGTCAAAATTTCCCTT